CACCGACTCATTCACCTTGAATGTGTTCATGTGCGCAAGGCTTTTCCACCTGGACAGAAGCCAATCAATCAGCCTCCACCTCAGTCTGCCACATTTGCCAGTTTACAGGCAGGCTGCAAACTGGCTAACGCTGGACCTGGTATCAGTTGTTGAGTGAGTGTGTGTAAAGGCATGGTGTTAGCGGGGGTGTTTGGGTTTTTAAGTTAATGACAGGGAATCCCTCTCTGTAGTGCAGCAGCGAAAACAGAGAGATGGGACACAGCAGTGAAGCAACAGTGGTGCCTATACACCACCCACGCATGGGCCTACGTGCGTGTGAATATAGACTGCAGCAAGACCGCATCGTATGAGAGGCGGATGTAAACTTGAGGTCATTCACAGGTCCATGCATGGACACATATATAAATATACCAGTATACATACATATATATATATATGTGGGTGGATGGATGAATGCATGGATGCATAGATAGATAGATAGATAGATAGATGAACATGCAGGCAGACAAACTGGGCACTGTTTGGAATATTTTAAAATTAGCAACACAAAACCTGAGTTATTCAGGGGTTGGCTAGTAGGCACTCAAGTTCTTATTCAAGTCCCAAGTCAAGACAGGCAAGTCTTGAATTAATCCCAAGACAAGTCCCAAATTCTAAACTTTGAGTTTCAAGCTCCAAACAAGTCATACAGTGCTCTTGACCTTAACTCTACCTATTTGTTAAAACAATTTTGTAGGAAGTTGTTGCGTCTCCATTTGTAATTTTCCACTCACATGTTTTGTTTAGCGCAGTTTGTTTTTTGTTGACCACCATGTCGTTTACGCAAACAAACAAAAGCAAACAAAATTATCTTTGGTATTATATTTCCAACAGGTGCTCAGTAACTTAACGTAAGTTCTTCGTGGTTTTCTCCTACAACATGAGTGGATGCTGTCGGATTGGTTCAAACAAAGTGGATCTTCTGAGGACTTGAGCGTCAGCTTGCAGGGAATGAATAGCATTAATGATAGTTTGGTTGAGGTAATATAATGTAAATTAACTGATTCGTGGCATATTTTCTTTTTTAAGTATCAAGTATTTTCAAATAAAAAGGCTAGAGTCAAAGTGAAATCACGAGTCATTGGGGTTTAAGTCCAAGTTGATTTGCAAGGACTTTATGATTTTGTCAAGTTGAGCCTAAATTTATCAGATTTGTGACTTGAGTCTGACTCGAGTCCAAGTCATGTGAGTCAAATCCACACCTCTGGAGTCTATCAATACCAAAACGGTCCTTTTTTAAAATATCATAAGAAGTAGAAACATACTTTTCTACAAATAAACATGACTTTGTACAAAGCTCTTTTTCATTTAACAAACAAAAATGTTAAATGTTGTGTAAACACAAGCCGTTGCAAAAGAACTTTACCAGTATTTAATAGTCTAAAACTGGCAAAATGATGATTTAAGTCTGTAACTATGTGATCAAATAGCTAGCAAACAAGATCATGAGTATGACAACACACTCAATGCCACTTTAGATAACTGTGCTACAAACACGTTTCAGTGCCAGAAAAATATGTGCAGACACAAACGCACACACGGAGTCAGCTATTAGTGCTAATTGAATCAGTAAGTGGTGCATCAGTGGCGTGGCACCTTACCAAAGCCAACTTAGAGAAAGTATAGAGACAGTCTGCTGAGAGGCGGCACAAACAGGTGAGAGTTGTCATAATGCCCCACATTCATATCTATAATTTCACCACTGCAGCCTGACCCATAGCAGTTATCTTCACACTGCACACAATGCCCTAAATTACACAGTGATTAATGTTTCCAGCACTCACATGTAGCCTATAGCGTGGCCTGGTAAGTGGATACAGAAAAAATGCCTCTGATGCTGAGTACTTTTAGCACAGTTACGGGTAATGGCATTATCAACACTACATCTAGGAACGTGATCAACATCACGGTGCCTGTATCAGAATAACCAACACTGTGTTCGGCAGCTGTGGAGATTTGCTCTCAATGAAGCATACATAAGCTGTGTACTGCACACGAGCTGAGTCACCGACAAAAAATACAGTCGGTAGTGATTTTGCAGTAGATCTTGCTGCCTTCTCCTTGCTGATGAGGCGAAGAAGAATGTGCACCTCCCATCATATGCTTCTCAAGGCCTTTTGCTCTCTGAAGGGGTGATGGATGCGGACATCTCATCCACTGTACATCATTGTGTCACCTGACTCAGTTACAGTGGTGGTGAGGGGATGCTGGGCTACAGCAGATGTTATAAGAGTCAGTTTAAAACACAAACCAAAATAACTAGTAACAAGGGCAAAGGTTTTGTTTTGAACATTGGGGTGTGAGACATATATATATATATATATATATAATATAAATTTTGAGCATCAAACACATAATTTACTGCATCGATTTATGGTGAAAACTTACTTAATTTCATCTAAATAAAAGTCCTCTGCTATTTTTATGTTTTTATGAGGTGGGGACAAATACACGTTCCCTGCATCCCCCCTGAAATCTATGCCTATGACCATTAACATACAGAATACTGCAGTGATAAGGAGTTTATCTTCAATAGATTATTTGTAGACTGAACCTTTTATTGGCAAAGAAACACTTGAAGGTGAAAGGGAACTAACCCCAGCTGTGGTATTTATGTCAGCCCTTATTTTCCAACTGGGCCTGAATTAACGGCTGCAAACTCACACACCAACTATCCTCACTGCCTGCATGTATCAGTGTCTGCAACATTTGCAACTATGCTGCTTTTTTTGGCCTTGAGTTTTTTACGTCTGGGGCTTTCTGTTTGAATAAATTCAAATCACCAGACCTCTAATAACAAGTGATATGTAGGGTAAAGTGTTGTCCTTACGGGGGATAATAAAGTTTTCTATTAGCATTGCACATCCCCTGTGACATCCAAAACAAACTAAACTATGCAGTATACTTCTTCAACCTGCTGGGCACAGACAAATCACACAGAGGCATGATTTTTGCCATACTACAGCAGCGTGTGCCTCCACACAGATATCCCGGCCTGACCACGGAGCACACTCCAGGATACGATGGAGCTGGGAGAGATAGTGTTACCACAGGGCAGACAGATACATCAGGGCTACTTCCGTACAGAGACAGAGCCAGTGCTGCTGCTGCTGCTGCTCCTCCTGTTGATCTCTGCTTGGCAGCGCGGACTGCAGTTGAGAAGCCTGATCAATAGCACACACTAAAGCCATCCTCACCCAGGATAAACACAACCATGCCTCGAAACTGCCGCTGGTTCCGATGCTTACGAGAGAATCCCAGGCTGAGGCACACAAGCTGCTTGAAAACATACTGTTTATTTACACATTTGTATTAGATTATAGCACACACAACTTGGAATAACATTTGTATTCCCTTGAGTAGATCTCCACTACATGTGACTGACAGGCTACAGTGTACTTTTCCTTTTATACACAGCTCATCATCATTTATCCCTGATTAGAAACTGCTATTACCAGAGCAGCCTTACTGAAATCTTAAGCTTCTCTGATCACTCGTATAAAAACGGAGCATCAGTATTCAGGTGGCTCACGATCAGATTAATGTGGCACCTTTCCAAAGCCTTCTGTCCTCTTCAATCACATTATTTCCAGCGGGGCTTTGTAAGGTCTCCTGTCTTGACCTGACTGTTGACAGAGGATCCTAACCTCCTCTCCTGCTTTGCAATGTGTCAAACACTATAATCTGGCTGGCCTGAGCCGCTGTAACACTGGTCCTGCTGTATTCAGTTCACACCTGCCTTCCTAACTGTGTCATGTGCTGTAATACTCTTTCTTCTTGCATGTTCAAAGACATCTATTTAAAATCCTCTTTATCGCGTCTTTACATTTAGTTTAAAAAGGGACGGGGGGTTGCACAACCAAGCAGGAAATCCTCTCTACCTGGTTATGACATTCACGACCCCTGCAAAGGTTATGCACTTTTCAGAGTGACGTTAAAAAAACACACTCTGACTGATGCTTTTTAAGAGCCTGACGTGCTAAGTGACTCATTAATATTTAACACCAAAAAGAAGTCTGTGTTTATTTTTACCTTTGAGTGTGATTCATGCAACATACGAAGACATGCACTGCAGTATAGTTAAACTATATCTATGCAAACAACTTTAAAAAATATATGTATCATTTACACAACCACTCCCAGTCTTTCACCATGTAGCAGCAGTTCCTAACATGCCATCTATCCAAGAGGGTCCTCACCTGAAAACTCCCATCAATCCCACACACCCTGCCTGCACGTATTCGCCCCTCCCTCTCCCCCTCTCTCCATCGCCATCCGTCCGCCTCCCCTCCTCCCTGCCTGCCTGCGCTGAAATTCTTCCTCTGCTGCTCGTTTCTTTATCCCCCCTCTATCCCTATTATTCATGCAAATAATAACAAACTGAGCAAATGCCCCTGACAATAGCATTATCCCTTGTCTCTTTTTCCTCTCTTTCTCCGAGCCATACCGCCCTATAAATAAGCACTATCACAGCGTTCCCCTCTCCGCACCTCCCTCTCCTCTCCATCCCTCTCTGCCTCCTACTCACACACATATACATACTGCCAAACAGCATCATAAATCAAGGGATGGGAGGAGGGAGGGGAGGGTAGGGATGGTGGGGGATGCAACCACACACACATACACACACACACACACACACACACACACACACACACACACAGAGTACCACATTTTAACACATATTATCTCTGACATCTCGCCTGTATACTAAGTGTACAGCTTCTGGGACCACTGCAAGAGAAGCAAGCACCTTCACACATATACATACAAAGCCAGTCCATGCACAGTCTCTCCACACACACACACACACACACACACACACACACACACGAACCCCTCGCTCCTGCACGACCCCCATCCTCCTCCTCATCCTCCTCCTCACCCCCTCCGCCACCACCCCCACCCAAACCCCCCTCTAGCCCGCAATGAGAGAGAGAGAGAAGAGAAGCGGGGCTTACTCAGTCTCCTGGAGCCGATGCATCCCATGGTGTATTCACAAAGGCCCTGGATACAAGCGTGGAAGTGTTACCCAGACACCGTGCATTCTCCCTCTTCCTCCTGCGACTCTCTCTTTCTCTCGGCTCTAGCTTCTTTTTCTTGCTCTCCTGTGCTCTCTCTTTTTCTCTCTCCCTCCTGCGCTTGCTTGATCACTCTCTCTCTGTCTCTCCCTCCCTCCCTCTCCCTCTCTCCCCTCTGCTCTCTCTCTCCAGTGCAGTGTCTTAGAAGAGATCCGGTTAGTAAGTCAGTATGCCTGAGGGGAATAGATTGGGACTAAATAAAGATGTGAGGAGGCATTATTAGCATTATTTAAACAGTTGTCTTTTTTTTATAAGTATCAATATCATCAATGATATAACTGTGCTATTATATATCCACTCTAATCTGCAGGCATTATGACATTTACCTAACCAGTCTGAGTTACTGGGACTGACAATGACAGCATAATTGGATGATCTGCAAATGAGAATGATCAAAAACAACCACAGGCATTAATCTAATGAGAGGTTAAAACAACAATCACATTGTGTGTGTATTGGGTTGCCACTACAAGATCAATAGCACAGTGCCGAGAGTGCCGGGCTGCCATTGTTGTAGATATCTCTGCACTGCCGTAATATTGTTGAGCTAAAATGGGGGATTCTCTCTCTGTCTCCCTCTCCTGTGTGCGCTCAGCCTGACAATGCACTGCAGCGGTTTCCTCGTGCCTCTCTCCATGTCCCTCTCAATCACCCCCCTCCTCCTCCTCCTCCCTTACACTGATCACTCGAAAAAAAAAAAATGCACGCACATACACCAATATTAAACAATCCTGAGAAAAAAACAGCAGAGGGTTTTCCTTCACAGTCAAGCCGCCGCTGCCGAGTCTCCACCTCTTTCTATGTCGTCTCTCCGTATTGATCCGCCCCTCAGTCATCTCTGCACCTATTTCTTGCTTTCTGCTCACTCTGAGTCACATCCTCACATCTTCCTCTGTTCACTCTTTTTGTTTTCGCTCCTCTCCTTCAGCTCTATCCTCTCTTCCCTAGAGAGACAAATGAGAGGAGTGGCTCTTTTATCTACATCTCTCTCTCTCTGTCATTTGACTTGCATCTATATCTGTAACACCACCACACCTACACTCTCCACCTTCCCCCTGTCTCACCTCAGTTTCATATCAACGCTTTCTCTCTTTTTTTTTAATCCTCCCTCCCTCCCTATCTTTCTGACTCCTCTTCTGTCTGGGAAGCCCCCTGCCCTTCTCTCTTTCTCCCTTTGCTGATTACAAATTCATGGGTGCTGTTTGTTCATGTGTTTGTCCAGCAAATGACGCAGGAGCAGCCTGGACAGTGAAGAGGTGCATGTGCGGTCACTCATGTTGTGTTGACTTTACGCGCACTGGGCGAAGAAGACAGAGAGGAAGGGAGCACGACAGATGGAAGGACAGAGAGACAAAGACATGGGCACAGATGGGGGGGTGATGGGAAGGAGAGCAAAGAACAGTTGAGTCATGTGCGGGAGAGGTGTGGAGACGATGGTGTGTGAAATAACAATTAGCACTCCAGAATGGATGCAGGAAAAAGACAACAATCCTATTACTTAGTTTCAGAATTGTATAGATAACGAAAAGAGAGAGGCATGGACGTGTTGTAGCAATAAAAAGGAAAAGCCAGACATAACAAATAATACATAATATAGCCAATCCCTGCACTGTGTTTATATATAGATGTGCTCTCTCTGTTGGTTTTCCCACCGGGGCAGAGGAGATGAGGCTATAGGATGCTGCAGGGGTCAGCTTCACTCGGGGCTGTTGGCTCACATACCCTGAACCTGGCTGGGAAAAAACAACACACTGCTCCTCTCTGCTGTGTGTAATTGCATGCTGAGTATATTGATTTCGACCCACGTCTCCCTTCTCTGGCTCTCAATTCCCCCTCCATCTGCCCATCACTCTGTCTAAGTCACTGTTTGTAATCCTTCAGACAGTTTCTCTCTTTGCACCGCTTTATGACATTTCATGCTTTTTTGCCGAAATCCTCGGTTAATCTAGGTGTATTTATCCCGCTCTACCTGTCGTTCTTTGTCAGTACGATTCATATTTGCCCCCCCTTCACCTTTTCTTCGCACATTCTCCTGTGTCAAAAGTAGGATATATTTAAACCCTGTGAACAAACTGGGTCAGATTACTGAGACGCAGCCACACGCACACACTATGGCTGTGACAATTAATCAATCAGTCAAACTATTTTGATGATTGATTAACTGTTCAAGTCAATTTGCAACAAAAATGCCAAACATCTGATGGTTCCAGCTTCTGAAAAGACTTTGCTGCCTTTCCTTCTCGTACATTACAACGTACATACAAACAATAAAAGACATTTTATGATGTAACATTGAGTTCTGGAGAATTGTGACCATCATGTTTCACTGTTATCTAAAGTTTTACACACCAGGCGATTAATCATTTAAAGGAGCAATGCGTAGAACCCAAGGGGGTTTAGTGGCATCTAGTGGTGAGGACTGAAAATTGCAACCAGATGAGACCTCCAAATTAGAATTCCTTCATTGTTCATCGTTCAAGAGGTTTTCACCAGAAGCCAAATTATCCGCAGAGGTGCCCTCCTCTCCAAAAGAAACACGCCACAGGTCTCATTTATTAACATTGCGTATGCACAAAACGAGGCTTGAAAGAGGCGTACGCCACTTCCCACGCAAAAGTTGTGATGTATAAAGACAGACTTAATGGGAGAAACTTTGACCTGTGCTTACAAACATTTTGGAGAGGGGGAACTTGCAACACTGATAGTGAGATGGAAGCCTGATTATAGAAACTGTTGGCACACACCATTTTTGGCTTTTGTTTGTACTTACATCTTTAGTATGGATCCTACGCATTTTTTTATAAATGAGACCCCTGGTGATTAAAACTGGTAGAACACTGAATAAAGCAGTTTCACATTACAAATCTGTGTTTCTCTTGCGCTGTTTGGCATGTTACATGGGCAGCTAGCCCTGCACCTGCTAATTTGTGCTCACTTTTTTCCTCTGATAACTTGATGCAGGTGCAGATGTTCTGGAATTATCTGCAGAGGTGTCTTCCTCTCCAAAACAAATGGTCGTGGTGATTTAAGCTGGTAAAAACACAGAATAAAGCAGTTTCACATTTTAAAAAAAATCTGTTTTTCCAATGCTGCTCCACACAAAGAGGCTGGTAACGACTGTGGCTGACACAATATTGCAGACTGCCCTATCTAGAGCCAGTGTTTGGTTTGTCCGCTCTGGGCTACTGTAGAAGCATGCAACATGGCAATGACCTTGGATGAGGACCCTCTTACTATGTAGATATAAATGGCTCATTCAGAGGTTATGAAAATACAATGATTGGTGATTAACCACGTGAAAATATCACGTGGTTATACACAAATACAAACATACTATATTCCGTACCTGTCAATATATCCCCATAAATCATACATACTTGACCTCTAAGTTAGGGTATAATCTTCAGGTTAATCAATAATGAAAATAATCTTTAGTTGCAGCCCGATCACACACACTCACACTCACGTGCTTTATATGTACACAGAACACCTGTGACAGTGTGGTGATCTATGATATGGAACGTCAATGTGAGACAAGGTCAGCCGCAGAGGGAAGACATTCCTGACACTAATCTCACTCTGATACATGGGCCAATCACAAAGATGACTGCCTTTCACCATCTTTGTCCACTCCTTTCTTACCCCCCCCCCCCCCCCCCACACACACACACACACACACACAGACTTCTACACTTGTGCTAACAAAGCATGTACAATGACATGAAAGCGCCTTGCAACACATGACACAGCCAACTTCTATCATGTCCCCCGTCAGCACGTCTCTTGTTTTCTTATCTGGGGTGATGGTGCTGCGCTGAATTCAAATGCAGCAGCCCCTGTTTAATATTATCTCGGGGACCCGCGCACACCTCATTCCTGTAATCAGTGACTTTCATGTATCTGTCACTATCTGTCCATCAGCCCCTGGCTGTTCTGTAGGTTGCACCTCAAGGATAATGAATAACAGCTCTATTACTGTCTCGTTCAAGATGTTATGTGCTGACGAACGAAAGTCATTCTAGAGGTTGGCAAAACGTTTCTATTTAAAATAAAACTAGCTCAGACTGGTTAACCTCCTCAAAAACAAGGAGCTATATTCCCCGTTGTCTTCACTTCACAGCCCGCTGCTTTCCATATATCCTTGCCGTTACTCTGCACTCCAGTGAACCTAACTGCTGCTAGTGTGTGTTATCTGTGTTAATTGGAACCACATGTTACGCATCTGCCCTCAAGGACCCACCAAGTTAGTTATACGAGAATGTGTGTGTGTAGAGGAGGAAGGGAGGGTGTGTATGTGACAGCCAGCCTGCATTGGGTTTCGCATATGAAGGAGAGAAAATATGTGTGGGGACGGAGAAGTGAAGCGGGGAGGGGGTAGACAGAGGGAGGGGGGGAGAAAAAGATGAGGGGGAATGCTCTGTGGTTTGTTTTTGAGGAGGGAAGGAGCGTATGAGGTGGGTGGGGACAAGGGGAGAGATATAAATGTTGTTATAAAAGGAGGCAGGCTCTAATAAGGTGTTCTCTAATGGCCTTGCTTATGTGATTAGCTTTGTTTTAGCCGGTGGGAGATACAGTTTATGTGTATTATTAGTTGGTGCTTTGGGCTGGCAGTTCACCATTTCTAGCTTCAGCAGCACACACTGTTTTATATTTGTGTGTGGGTGGTATGGAGTCTCTGCGCTCACGCTGTGTGTGTGTGTGTGTGTGTGTTTGTGTGTGTTTGTGCACTCCAGGTCTTACACAAGGCAAAACCTTGCGTATGAGGAGTTCCCAACTCTCCTCTATTATTTACAATTCTCTTTCCTGCTCTCCTGCAATCACCCTTCACTCTCTGGCTACAGCCCTGCTTGTCTAGACCACCAGCACTGCTGGCCTGTTTGTATCCACTGATGCTTCTGTGTCCAGCTTCTCATGTACCCACTCTCCTCAACAAGCCTATCAGTCTCTCTTAGAGTCATGTCACTATCTACACACCGCCCTGTCCTTTATCACATCTGTGGCTGATGTGGATTTACTTGCTGTCAAGAGATTCTG